CAAAAGTCATCCTACCGCCAGACAGCACCCGCCCATGCCCCCTCCTCCCCGGCCCCGGGCCCAGCCCCAGCCGGCCTCCCCAGGAGCAGGCCCAACCTGAGGCCCAGGCCCAGCCCCAGGCCAAAGAGGCGCAGCAGTGAGAGATAGAGATGGAGTGGGAAGAGAGAGGGGAAGGGAAGGTGATATCCCGACCCTACCCTCCTCTACCACTTCTCTGGGGGGTTGGTGGGGTGGGTAAAGGCAGACTGGAGCAGGTTGATGGACAAGGCCATGGAACAGAGGCTGTAGAAAAGACAATATAGACTCAGGGTACCGGCAGCAGAATCACTTCTCGGAATAGCCACGTGGATTACCAGATTGGGGCGATCGAGGCATCTTCTTATTATCGTCCGATCTGCGAATGAATCGTTTTTATGTGCTCTAGTAGCGATTGAGCTTCCGAAACAATGGCCAGATTTTTTAAAATGATTTTCCTTTCTGAATTTATGTACGTGTTTAAGGTTACAACTCTCCTTATCAGAAAAATAAGATTTCAGATGAATGCTAAACCCTTGCAATACCAACATATTTGTAAGGTGGCAGTAATCATAACTTGGCATTGTGAAGTGCCAATATCTTTAGCTAAATATTTTTTCACAAAACGCTTTGTTAGGAACATGTTTTGTAAGCATGTTCTGTTCATAAACAATGATTCTTTATCAAGCAAGTTTTTTCCAGCATGCTTTTGTCAGCACATTTGCTTGATTAGCAAGCGTTATAGCTTTTTTTATGCAAATATTTCTTTAGCAAACATGCGTTGTTTATCTTTCAATGCAGACGTTTTCTTCAGGAACTTGTTTTGTTAGCGAATATGCTTTGTTAGCACATATGTTAAACTAATGACGTAAACATAAACCTGCTCATTTATTTGACATCCAGTTCAAAACCTTTCACTAAGTAGCTGAGCTTTGGTCAACCTACTTGTTTGAGTGGAACAAGTAATGAAAGATATTGTTGTTAGTTGTCAGTCATTTCAGCTCTGCTATGGTATGGTCAAGCATCAGAACGAAGGATACAGAATCCTTTTCTTCCCCTTCACTAGCTACCCCCATTTCCTTCCTCAGTGCAGCGCATGATTCTGTGTCTCAGATAACGTTTGATTCTTTAGATATTATCCATATAGCCTAATACGGATAATATCCTTGAGATAATATTATAGGGATATTGCAGAAAGCCGATCCCCAACGTGGATGTTCCTTTACAACAATATCCTGAGAAAGTGCTAGGTTGAAGAAATCTGAGGAAACCCTGCAGTGTCTACACTGTATGTGCCTGATGGTGGTGCAGCCAGCTGGACTCTTAAAGGTACACTTAGCAAGATGACATCATCACCAGAACAACATTAGACAACAGCAACAACATAATTCAAATCTGCCAAGAATACCATTATTAAACAAATGTATCAATTTGCATCCGCCCTTGTGGCACGCCCACATTGGGAATAGCTAATCATTTCAGTCTTGGCAGATTTGTATTGTCTTGATGATGTTGGTCACGTTCCCTCGCTCTGACGTTGCATGCATCAATCAATGGTTGCGTACCACGTCATCGACTGTGCCGGCGGGCACCAAATTACGATAACATATAATGTGGTTAGCTGATACATAATGCTTATCCAGGCGTTGTAAGATCTGGCATGTGTCAGCAACGTCTGAGCATAAGGAACACGACCGTTGTCTGTAAGTAGGAAGTTGCCCCATTTTTTATGATGATGTCAACTTGCTGAGTGTAGCTTTAACCCTTTGTAGCATTTTATTTTATTTTACAATTCTCTGTGTTTCTTTGTAGTTGTTCTACATTGACAATTGATGATGTTGTTGTAGGTACATTTTCAGGTGGTTCCATTTACTAGTAATTGGTAGTTTTGTGGCACCATGGTTAATTTTCTCCTGTTTAAACTGTTTGGTTTGATAAGTTGAACTGCAACAGGAAGAGAGATGGCGGCTGTCGAAAGCTTTTCCCGGGGGACTGTGTAATGTTTTTGATAGAATTTTAGACCCAGTTACCCTTTGTTTCATGCACAGCCTTTTTGTGAAGACTCATTAGAAGAAAGCAGTGACTTTTTCAGACTTTTTGACTTTGTTATATACAAGGTTCCACTCAGGGTCATAATCGTGGTGAGACTATTGGCTACACACCCTCGCCAATAGAGCAGGTTGTCGCTTCTCCAGCTTCTGCTTTCCTTTGCTCAGGGGTTCTATGTATCAAGCTTTTCAGAGTAGGAGTGCTGATCTAGGATCAGTTTAGCCTTTTAGCTCATAATGAATGAGACTATTATGAACTGGAGGGATCGGATCTGATCCTAGATCAGCACTCCTACTCTAAGACGCTTGACACATAGAACCCCAGATCTTCGTATTTGAGTGCATGGTGGTAACGGGAAATACTGTGTGCCAAGGCAAAAATCTTTAAAGTACTTTCAGCAAGATGGGGTATAATACCATTTTGGCCATGCATGTACTATTTCCTGGGTTGTGTTCATTAGTAATATGTTTCAGTAGGTTTTCTTCCCTTTGGTGCCCAATGGAATATGACTCCTATTTTATTTGCCTACGGAGGATCTACCTTTGCATAATGTACAGAGGAATGCACGTTTATATAGCAATACACTAATCCATTGTTCCTCACTCCAGGACCTTGAAATGCTTCTTCATCATGCTATGGGGCTGTTTTTCTGCAAAGGGACCAGGACGACTGATCCGTGTAAAGGAAAGAATGAATGGGGCCATGTATCTTGAGATTTTGAGTGAAAAACCTCCTTCCATCAGCAAGGGCATTGAAGATGAAACGTGGCTGGGTCTTTCAGCATGACAATGATCCCAAACACACCGCTCGGGGCAACGAAGGAGTGGCTTCGTAAGAAGCATTTCAAGGTCCTGGAGTGGCCTAGCCAGTCTCCAGATCTCAACCCCATAGAAAATCTTTGGAGGGAGTTGAAAGTCCGTGTTGCCCAGCGACAGCCCCAAAACATCACTGCTCTAGAGGAGATCTGCATGGAGGAATGGGCCAAAATACCAGCAACAGTGAGTGAAAAACCTTGTGAAGACTTACAGAAAACGTTTGACCTGTGTCATTGCCAACAAAGGGTATATAACAAAGTATTGAGAAACTTTTGTTATTGACCAAATACTTATTTTCCACCATAATTTGCAAATAAATTCATTAAAAATCCTACAATGTGATTTTCTGGAAAAAAAATCTCTTCTTGTCTGTCATAGTTGACGTGTACCTATGATGAAAATTACAGGCCTCTCTCATCTTTTTAAGTGGGAGAACTTGCACAATTGGTGGCTGACTAAATACTTTTTTCCCCCACTGTATTCTTAATTAATTCCTTACTTAGATTTGTGTGTTTTGGGTATATGTTGTGAAATTGTTACAGTATATATTACTTGTTAGATATTA